ATAAATGAATAAAAGCTTTTTTTAAAAAAATAGTATGTTTACACATTTTTTTAAAGGCTAATAATGCTGTGTACTTCTTAGAGTAACTGCCAGGATTCAGTGAGTCAACATGAATTATGCAGTATGTCAAAGTCAGCGGTCATTTTCATTGTCACTACTTCCCTACACGACTGTTCTCCAAAATGTGTCATGCAGAAATGAGTTTAGATTGTTTATAGGTTAATATTTTAAGTATATACTAAAGTGATTCATGACTTATTTTATCTTATGGTTACTCTGTATTTAGAAGAAAGTTCTAGTGGCTTTAGAGTCACTGGAGATAGAGAGTCCTCTCTAAGTAGACTGAAGTTAAACAGTGGGTCAGTTTTAACAAAGTCACGAAGTAAACATTGGGCATTGAGATGTGGCAAGAGAAAAAAGTCATAATGATGAAAATTGGGGACAGTGTATTCTATCGGGGTTCTCAAACGGCAGTGCAGGGGGCTCTGGGAATCCTTGTGAGCACGCGGGTGGGACACAGGTCAAAACTCATCGTAACAAGACCAGGACTCCATCACTCTCGATCTCTTTCAAGTGCGCAGTGGGGTTTTCCACAGATTATGTGATACGTCATCTCACAAGACAGACAATAGAAACAGTTATGAGGACACAGCCCTCCACTAAGCTAGACAGGAAAGACATCTTTTCAAAATGTAAGACACTGCCAGTTTTTACCAATTTTTTGTCTTTAAAAATATGGCTAATTTTCATAAAAATGGTTTAGGTGTACAAAATAGGCTCTTACTGTTAATTTTACTTTTAAAATTAATATTTCCTAATTCATTAATATTAATTACTATTTCCATTTTTTTTAAATAAACGTATCTTTTAATTCCATTTTACATAAACTAAAAACACATTTATTTGTTTAAAAATCAAAGAGAGACAGACTGAGAGAGAAGTCACATTTTCTGGTTTACATCCCAAATTCCTGCACCAGCCAGAGGTAGGCCAGGCCAAAACACTGGTCCAAAGTCAGTCCAGGTCTCCCTCATGCGTGCTGTGGACCCAACTATTAGAAGCATCTTCCACTGCCTCCCAGGGTGCACATTAGCAGGAACCCAGAATCGGGAGAGGAGCCACGAGTCATTGCTTTTTAGCCACGAGTCATTGCACAATAGTATTCCTGGAATGAATGGGTCTTCAAATTTGTCTGTTAACTGACTGTAGGACACATGGATTGTTTCAGCTTTGGTGATTCAAATCAACTTGCTAAAAAAAAAAAAAAAATCCTCCATATAGAGGCTTTTGTGTGAACACATTTAGAATTCTGTAAATACTTAGGACAAAATAAGTATGGTTTCAAATCTGCCCAACTATTTTTCTAGAGTAGCTGAAGTGTTTTTGCAGTCCCACCAGCATTATCTGCAAGTCCCAGTTGTCCCTCATCCCTCCTAGCACCTGAGCTCATCACCACTAATGGATATATCATTGCTGTGCTAACACACTGGCAATGTATTCTCACCATGGTTTTGCATTTTCATGTCCACAATGACTAATGATATCAAATACCTTTTCAGGTTTCAATTGTCCATGTCTTAATCCCTTCTGATGAAGCGTGTGTTGAAATCTTTTATATATTTCCAAGTTCCAGTTGTCTTGTTACTGTTGCTTGTTACAGATTGTCAGTACAGTTTTGAGGGTTCTTGTACATTCTGGACACAAGTCTTTTATCAAATACATGGCTTAAAGTACTTGGTAACTTGTCATTTCCTTCTAACAGTGTCTTTTACAAAGCATAAGTTGTTAATTTTGTTTAAGTCTAATTGGTCAGATTTTTATCTTTTACATACTGTAGCTTTGCTGTTGTATCAATGCACTCGTGACCTAATACCAGATCATAAAGGTTTTTCCTATGATTTCTTCCAGAAGTTTTTGAGAGTCTTAAATTTCACTTTGAGAAGTAAAATTTGACTCAATTTTTCCAAGGTTCACCTTGACATTCATTTTTCTTGCATGTGAGTGCTATTTTAAACAAATAATATTTTCAGCTTATGTCTTAATTTTAATTTCTGATACCATAAATATCAGTAGATAGTATCCACAAAAAACAGAAGCTTTTTGGTGTTAACCATTTTGAGGGGTTCTAAGCTCAAAAAGTGAAAATCACTATGCTTGCTGTATGTTTAAAGAAAGATCATTTCTGATTCTTCATTTTTCTTGACCTCTTTATAGCATTAGATAATGAAAACCATTATTTTTCGCTTGAAATTCTCTCTCTTGTTAAGAAGTGAGACATGTATGAGAGTTTAATTTGCTTTGCAAACTCCTAAATTTGCCTGCCAGTTTCATGGATGTTGGCAAATGCCATGAGATTCCAAGTCAAAGATATAGGTTGGTCTATTGTTTATAGCAATAGCAGCAGTCCATGTACAAGCATTTACACTGATTCTTTAAACATCCAGTTCCCAAAAGGAGATGCAAAGAGGGAGAGCTAACACCAACTTCCATATTGGAGTGTCATGTGGAAGAGTTCTGAGCTTAGAGAACCCAACTCTTCAACACTGGAGTATAAGAATGCCTTCGCTTCGTTCTGAAGCAATACCCTATATTTGTCTTCCAAGGCTGTTCATTATATAAACATGTTTGAAAAGGCAGTGAAGAATAAAGGCAGTTAGTTCCTCTGTTCACAAAGTATAAAGACATGCAAGAGACCCACAAGGAACCAGCATCAACAACCTCCTCATTTCCTTGCTTTATTCAATTTTTCTTGTTCCTCATTCCATTTCTCAATTAGGAAAATACAGAAGACATACATATTCTTAGATGTAATCTGAGTTCAGCCTTTCTCTCTATGCATACCACTCTGAAGAAACTGTTCCCCTCTGAGGATTGCAATGCTCACCTCTGAAGCCCAGGACTGCATTCTGTAGTGCTTCAAAAATATGTATCCACATTCCAGTCCTCTATTATCAGTATAGTTGTCTCACAGTCAGCTCAAGCTCAGTAGAACTGCAAAACTCACTTGGCTTATTGAAAAGAAAGTATCTTACTTGATGCATGGAAACTGAGAAACTACTTAGCTGTGGTTAAATTTCCCCTGTATCTATTCTTTTCTTTTACAACAATCAACTGCTAATTTGCTGGGTGATGAATAAAGACTGAATTTCTCTGCTTCCCTTAGAGCCAGGTATAGTCCCATGATCAAGTTCTGACCAATGTAATACCAATTTAGTGATATGTACAACTTCCATGTCATTCCCCGAAAGGCAAGGGTGTGATTTTGGACCACAAAAATGAGGGACAATACCTTAGGAGGAAACAAAACAAATCAGAATGAGCCCAGGCCTTGGACATTCACGTGGAGCAAAACCACCCTGGACCATTTACCTTTAAGCAGTGACTGCAAAGAGGTTTTGAACTCCCAACATATTTAATCAACTACAATGATGGGTCTTGGTTGCATATCACTGGACTGTATCTTTACTACTATATTATCCCTCAGGCAAGAAAATATGATTGGACCTCTCCTACCCTGTGTGGTACCCAGTAATTGACCATTGCTGGGGATGGCTAGGATTCCAAGGAGGAGGAACAGCTAACTGTGCACCATAAGAGGTCTTGCAAAGGGTGGGGGGAAGAAGGGGAAGGAGAGACTAGTGTGGGAACAGTAAAGTGCACCATATTCACATCAATCTTCCCTTGAAATCCCAGATTTTAAAAATGTTCATTGTAGCATGTGAAGCGTGATAAATGTTGGGAACACAAAATACTACAGTCTGTGGTATTCAGCTAGATAATTTGTGAAACCAAAAATTACAGTCCAAATGGCTCTGGGGGAAATTTTCATCAAAAACACTTAAGAGTCAACTTTTGGAAAGATGAACTACAAACAAATTAACATGTACCCTGCATGGATCTATTCTGGCCAATCATGTGAGGTTATAATGTATATCAATGTTCTTAGAGGAAGAAAGCATCATCTTGGAACCTGGCTAGCCCAGCCACACCCTTGCTTTCAAGCTGCTCTTAGATGTTGCAATTTGTGGCACCCACTAGCTTTTACAATTGTTGTTCTATGCTGATGTTTTCTGTTAATGGGACACCAACTGAAGAAGGAAGATTTCACTCTATAGGCAGGTTGTTACCCTCAGAAGCCCAAGTCAGGACAGATGGGATGGCCATGTAAGCCAAAACAAGATGGAGCTTTCATGGGTCAGAAAAATAAGAGCAATGCATGAGGTATCATATAGCTGCAAGTTCCATCAGAATCCCAACAGGAAACATTACTACTTGAATAGCAATGGCCCAAGGAGGGTTTTATATAGGGATTAAAGACAAAGGTGTGGGTGGAATTTAAAGCAAATATAAGAGAGACAGTATAGAGATTTGGACTAGCAGCAACTCAGCTCTCACTTCCCGCAGTACCAAGTGTCAAGCAGGGATCAAGAGTAGTAACCAGGATCATAACACATGTTTCTACCATAGTCAGTGACCCTCCACTATTCTTCTGGAAGAACACCTGTGTGACTGAACCCATCACGAAGCACAGGGCCCAGGAGTGTTGCTTTGTGGAATCCTCCCACAAAGCCTCTGGTGGAGGCAGAGCCCCACGGCAGAGAGCAGGAAGAGGAGTCGGCTGGCAATGCTGTGCAAGCACCCTGCACTCTCTTTCTATTTAATACTTTATTAATCTTCCTTTTGTCTATTTTTTTCCTATCTGAAACAAGGATGGAAATAGATAGTAGTAGTTAGTTTGTAACATACTTACTAGGCAAAATGCAAAGTTAACAACACCAACCTGGTCCCCAGACTAGGAATTACTGCTCTTATTACCTGTGATATAATGTCAAATCTTTATTAGTAAAATACTTAATGTTGAATTGCATGATTATCTCTTCTACAATAAGTACCTGAATTTCCAGTCTTTTTCAGAGACAGTCACTCCTGCTTAATTTTTGCTTCTTCTGTAAATTTCAAAAAGGCCAAGCACCAAGTTGAATCTAAGCATCTTAATGGTCTTAATGGTAAGACATCTCTGGATGTTCCATGATAGAAAAGATGAAGGGATAACTGAGAGAGCACCAGTTCTTGTGTCTGACTTGCCCAGGTTCAAACGCAGCTCTACTGTTAATATTGTCCATGGGACAAGGGATAATAGTACAGATAAACCTACCTCATAGGATAGGTAGGATACTGAATTACCTCTAAAAACATGTGTCAAACCTTAATCAAGGGCCCGGCGCGGTGGCGCAAGTGGTTAAGTCCTCGCTTTGCACGCCCGGGATCCCATATGGGCGCCGGTTCTAATCCCGGTAGCCCCGCTTCCCTTCCAGCTCCCTGCCTGTGGCCTGGGAAGGCAGTCGAGGACAGCCCAAAGCTTTGGGAACCTGCACCCGCGTGGGAGACCCGGAAGAGGCTCCTGGCTTCGGATCGGCGTAGTATCGACCCGTTGCGCTCACTTGGGGAGTGAATCATCGGACGGAAGATCTTCCTCTCTGTCTCTCCTATCTGTATATCCGCCTTTCCAATAAAAAAACAAAAATAATAAAAATAAATCTTTAAAAAAAAAAAAAAAGAAACCTTAATCAAAGCAAAATTAGAAACAAGAAAACTCAACCAACACCCAATTCAGTTGTTCTGTTATGTTGAATGATGCCAGTGTCATTCTAATCTTTTTCCTTTTCACCCAATTTTGTAGGCACATGACCCTTGTTGAAGTTATTATAACACAATGCTTAATACAGAGTAGGCATCCAAGAAATGATGGTTATTACCTTCTTATATAGCAACACTTGATTGGAAAATGAGTCAATTATGCCCCAGAAGTAACAGTGTGTTCCTAACTCTTGATTCTTTGGATGGGTTAAAAAAAAAAAAACAAAGGCTCTGTAGTTTCTGCTAGCTACCCCCAAGTAGAATTTGCATCAAAAGACAGCTTAGAACATGGGCTTCTCATTTCCTGGACCGCAAGGGAGACAGCAGTAGAAAACTTTGAGATGCTTTACTTGACCAAAATAATAGCCCATGCCTTTAATGTGAGACCCTTTGACATGATCTCACATCATTCCTCCAAGGTTCTCTGAGAGTGGTGCCTCTAGGTCCAGCTTAGAGATGAGAAACCTGAAGTGGAATCAGGAACCAGCTGGGTAGCAGAACTTCTTTCCACGGAAGTGCTCTTGTGAACATTTTTGGTAGTCACACACCAAACTATTCCTACATTGGGCCAGTTAAATCTTGCCATCAACTCTCAAGGGTGAATGAGATTCAGAAGAATTTCATAACAAAAAGGATTTTAGCTATAATTTTTTCTTGTGCTTTTGCTCCTACAGACACCCAATAGCTTAAAAATATGAAAAGTTGTATGTTGTCCAAGTAATGAAGATAGCCCCTCAAGTATGTGCTAAAATTAAATTTGATTCCCTTAAAATGATGAAATGGATTTGCCATGGATCCTTGTTAGTGTATTGGGTTCCAAACTTCCAAGCTAACCATCTCCTATCCAACAGTTTTTTGTCTCCCCTCCCCAAACACTCTGCTGGTGAAGCTTGTGGTTCAACAGATTTTGGAAATCCATCTTGGCACAATTAGGAGTAAGTAAGCAAATGGGCTGCTCTTAGGCATAATTTGTCAAGCATAATGTGACCATCCTTCATGGTACAGCCAACGGCATTTGCGCATCAAACAAGTAATTCAAAAATCCTAAATATTTTATGTTCCTAAATACATTTTTAATACGCATTCATCTAAAAGCTGTTAAGCTACAGCCTGCTCCCCTGACCAGATACCATCTTTAAAGAAATCCCCAGAGACAGCCCAGTTCTCCTTCTTCCTTCTTGGACCTAGTATGTAAGCACCTTCCTTTCTCCCTATAATGGAAATTTACAGAGGGCAAAGGCATTCCAAAAGCCTAGAAGTTTCACCTCTCAACATACAGGCATTCGATACTAAGGAAGATGTCATAAGTCAATAACCAAGCTGGTCCACCCTTTCTTTGACCAAATTAGTAACACTGCTGTCTATTTTTTATATATGTAAAGTACTGTCTGGTTCCCACAATGAAAAACTAGCTTGGCAACTAAAAACTTAGCTGTGGTAATGAAAGCAATAACAAGAGAGAAACGAGCCCATGTTCAGTGTTAAAGCTCGTTTGAATTACCTAATGGGAGCACTCTGTTAGGAAGGGAATTTGACCTAGTGGCTAGTAGTTACACATTCCATTTCCAAGTGTCTGGGTTGGAGTCTAAGACCTACTCTGGGCTCCAGTTCCTTCTAATATGCACCCTGAGAGGCAACAGATGATGGTTCCAGTAGTTAATTCACTGCTACCCATAAGGGATCATGGATGGAGTTCCCATGTATAAGCTATAGCCTGACCCAGTCGCAATTATTGTGAGCTTTTGGGGAATGACCCAGCAGAGAAGTCTCATGTTCAGTCAGATTATCTGTCTGTTGATCCCTCTCTGCCTCTCAAATGAAATAAATTTTAATAGGATTTAAGGAACGGTCTATCAAATCACAGTGAAAAGAAAACTGAGCAGTTCTATTATGCTAAATGACTCCAAACCATTACTTTCCATCCTCGTCTTTTACTTTTTCACCTAACTTGTATGCATGTATCCCTATGACCAGGCAGGCAGTTCAACAAGACCTACATTCCATAAAGACCCTCAAAGGAGGCAGAAACCGGTTGCCCCTGTTGGGACAGGCAAGTCACAGTGGAAGCCGCCTGAATTATTACAGCTTAGTGGTCAGCTGGCACTGTGTCTTGATATACCCTTGCCATTAATTAGAAAAACAGTTTTCAGAGAAATCCAACGAAAGCCTTATGCCTATTTAGAGCACTTTAATGTAGAAACCAAATAAATCTTCCTGTTTTGTGTAGTCTGTTTAAACATAAACATATGATTTAGACATGCTCCCTCTTGTTAAACATTTTTTTTCACTCTGTTCACTTAGCACAGCTCACATTATTATCCTCACATGCACAATGGAATAATTTGAGGCCCACAGATTTATTTAATAATGTAATTATCCTATATTGGATTACTTAAAGGGGCTTTGTATTTTAGTTTTAGCTTTTCCTGTACTACTGATAGACTCTGCCATGGTGAATGATTCAGGCTTCAATCAAAAGCCCTAAACTCAGTTTGGAAAAATATTGGGCGATTTTTGAATAAGCTAGGATTAGCATAAGAGCCAATTTGCAACCACAGTTGGTGACCTTTCTACTCTTGTTCAAAGGCTTTGGTGTGGAGGCCAACACAGAAGAAAGACCCAAGCAACTACATTAGATTCCAACTATTTTGCCACCTACGGAGGTAGGATAAACGAGAGACCAAAACCCAAGTTTTCCTCAAGGTAAACTTTTTAAAAGCAAAGCTAAAAATGGTATAGTTTCCCATGCCCAAAGCCCTATACTCTTCCAGGTGGGGCTTGGAAATGAATGAATGAGTGAACAAATGAAAGCTACTGGGCATTCTGACAAAATTATCACAGAAGGGATTCCAGAAGGCGCCATCCCTGCCACCTTTAAGAGAGCATTCAGAGCCTGAGCTTCATCCAATGTTGTTGTCAGGAGAGACTGTGTTGTAGCTTTCCCCCCAACTCAATGCATTTGGATCCAATTAACTGTATTGACTCTACTCTATGCCAGGCACTGGGCTGAGCATCAGCCACGGAGAGAGAAAGATGAACGAGATGTAGGTATCACATTTGAGAAACAGGGCTGTATCAGGGCTTCATTCATTCCTAGATCCTCAGTGACCTAAGCGACCCTTGGAGCTGTGCTAACAAGAGAAATAGCAGGGTCTAGGACTCTGAGTGACAGGAGCCTTGCCTAGTGAAGAAAGGACAGGAAATACTATAGCATGTCAGCTAACAGGGCTCAATACGGTGAGAAATGGCCATGGGTAATTTTATTTATTCAGCAGCTACTGGGAAGAGGCAACTATGAATGTTGAGGGTGGAACTGGAGATTATGTACATCAAGTGGTCAGGAAAGCTCTGTCTGCTGAGACCCAAAGGGCAAGAAAGAACTGGCAGAGCTAAGAGGTGCATGGAGGTGAAGAAAACACAGAGGACACGGGAGTGGAAGGACCAGAGCCTGCAAAGGTCCCAGGAAGCATAAGCTGTGTAGTCAAATTCAAGGGAAACAGAATGAGAAAGGAAAAAAACACACAGTTGAGCACTTTCTGAACAGCTGATGCATGTTCCTCAGTTTGAATCCTGACCCTTTTTCTTAATAACCGTCCAGTAGGTTTACCATAAATAATTTTCCATTACTAAACTTAAGCAAAGGGCCTGGCATGGTAGTCTAGTGGCTAAAGTCTTTGCCTTGCACACGCTGGGATTCCATATGGGTGTCGGTTTTTGTTCTGGCTGCTCCGCTTTCCTCTCAGCTCCCTGTTTCTGGCCTAGGAAAGCAGTAGAGGATGGCCCAGAGCCTTGTGTCCCTGAACCCATGTGGGAGACTCAGAACCGTGGGAGACTTCCGGTTCCTGGCTTTAGATTGGCTCAGATTGGCTCAGCTCTGGCCACTGTGGCCAGTTGGAGAGTGAACCAGAGGATGGAAGATCTTTTTCTCTGTCTCTTCTTCTTTTTATAAATCTGCCTTTCTAATTAAAAATAAATAAATCTTTTTTTAAGATTGAGCAGAATTTGCTTAATGCCCACTTTCCCCAAAATCTTCAATGTTCACATCCGTAGTTCTGAGAATTTTGCTCAGACCAAAGAGAAATGAATGAGTTTTCCCAGGAAGCAGATAATTTCCACAGAAGGTAAAAGGTGGTAGGCCAGCTGCTCTCCTAACATATGCATAAGGTCAAAGGGTAATGGGGAGGCAGCTCTTGTGGATACACATACTATGAACACAAACTGGGACAACAGTAACTCCCAAGTGGAGTTTGCAGTCTGTGTATAGACACAGGTCAATTTGATCCCCACTTTAACCATTCTGCACAAAACAAACCTGTTTCCTTAAGCATTAAGAAGCTGTTTCTATCAGTTGTGGGTGCGTCCTCCTCCTTCCTGCTGCATATTTATCATCACACTGACACAATATTCTAGCCAGCATTTCTAGAAAAACTGAAAATTCATTGAACTAGGTTTAGAAAACACCCAATATGGCTTGTTGACACCCTGTGAAATTTAACAAATCTTTAAAATATTAAGGCAATCATGTCTTTCATAAATGTCACCCATAATTACAGCCCCAGAGGAGGGAAGAGGTGTTGGGGAAAGAGACCCCAAAATAATGATAAAAGGGAAAAAAAAGTGGGGGGAAGACAGCTAAAGTAAGAAGCATAGCTTTCATGCGTCATCAAAGAAGCTGTACACTAATCAGATTGGGGTCTGAGAAGACTCCAAGATCTCCACATCTTTGGAGTTCATCTCCTCCCCTTGATTGTGGGCTGAACACAGATTCTCACTGCTGACATTGAGAATCAGGCACAGGCACTGGGATGTTCCCTGGACAGTTATGTTTAGCAAGGCGTGGCTGTGTCTCAAGTATACATTCTGAAGGAAACCGGTGGCCATGCTGTGAGGGACCCTGTGGAGGAGCCCAAGTGGGTCAACCGGCAACAAGGAGTTGAAGCCCTCAGCCCCGCACCCTCTTGGACTGAGATTTGCATCAGGCCACTGAGTGAACCTGGAATTGGATTCTCCCCCAAAAGAGCTCTGAAATGACTGTTGCCTGGGTTCACATCTCGGCTGCCGCTTGGAGAGATTTTGAGTCAATGGCACCCAACTGCTAAGCTTTAGTCCAATTCCTGATCCACAGAAACTGTGAATAAGCTGTATTGCTTTTAGATACCAAATTTGTAATGACTTGTTACCCAACAAGAAATAACACATCACTTGTTAACATGGGGGCAGATTTGCATATAACTGTATGACAATGAAATAATATCTGTGAAATAATGCACTACCTACCCTTTTAAACTATGTCCAGAAATTAGATTATTCCTGCTAGGAGGAAGACAAGCCAATGGAAACACGCTTTGTGTAACTGCCTATGTCCTCATCCAGCTACTTATCCAAGAGCTCTTTTACGTTTTGGGTATCCATAGAGATTTCCAAGAATATTCTTAACAGTGTAAACATACTTTTCAGGATGGAAGAGGTAGAGTAAAATGTCCTCTTGCCAAGTCAAGCTAACTTATATATGTACTATTTCCACTACACAAGTGGAGAGAAAGGGCTAATCTCATTCCTTTTTATCATGCCTTATAGTACTCTGGTACATACAAATAAATATTGGTTGAAATAATTGAATAAAAAGTTGAAGTCACAGGCCTCTATTTAAAAACAGAATGCTATTTTTTTCAAGAGCAATATTAGTCTATGATGTAGTGACCACAGATGAGTTCTAAGCCTCAGCTCTCCTTTCCTGCACGCACTCTTTCAAGATTTATCTTGTAAAGGCCTTTGACACAGGCAACCGCAAGAACAGTGTCATCTATGAGCCCAGTCTGCAGGTGCTATAGACACACAACCCTCTAGTCCACAGGCCAAGACTGGGGCAAGGTTTCTTTTTGTTAAAGAAAGGAGAAGGGGTGGGAGATGGGGGGGTGGTGCAGAAGAACCTTTAAAAATTATGGCCAAAGGGAATAAATTAAGCAATTGAAATATCTCGGTATTCTAACATCCCGCGAGTATTATCATTACTCTGCTACTTTGAGGGGGTGATTTGAGGAATTCTGGGGGGTCAAAAGTGATGTGAACATCTGCTTGGCTGTCTATTGAATTACAGATCCAGTAACATAAAAATGGAGGGTGAAAAATAGAACCTGCACTCTAAAGAAAAAAAATCAAACGAGCCCATTGATAATGTTTAAAGACACTACCATTTACATGACTCACAGCATTTACATCAGAAAAACATCCTCAGCCTTTTTACCAGCATCTTCTTTCTGCCTGCCGATAGTTGGGGGTACGTACTTTACAACCCAATGCATTGTTGCTGAACACACATCCAGTCCCCAGGAGCACAGAACACAATTAGACTATTATGGAGAACATTCAGAAGAAACAGAATGGAACAGATTATTTCACTTAAGACGTACAGAATGCAATTATTTTCCGTATTTATAACCCATGTATTTTGGAATCATTTGGTGAGGAGACTGAGTGCAACAGCAATGTTTTCATCTGAATTTTAGTCATGTGATATACACTGTGGGATTAACCCAAAGCAAAAGGATTTAATGGCCCAGCAGGCGGTCTCTATTTTGAAGATTTTTTTAATCTAACATCCCCCTAGTCTTTTGGGCTGGGACTCTTCCCTTCACATCCTTGGGTTGGTGCTTCTGGCATCTTTGAAAGAGCTAGGCAGGAGTGTGCAGTCCTTCCACCATTAGCCAAAGGAGATGAGCCAATCTTCAAATGAGGGATGTTTTTAAAAATAAGAAATAGGAAAGCCTCTTTTGAACATGGAGGAAAAGTGGGTGTATTTAAAGTAAATTGAGGGTTTTGCACACTCAGCAGATGAGCTCCAGGACTCCTCATAGTTGCATCATCAAAAGGCAGAGAAGACCTGAGAAGCACCAGTTTGAACTTGGCTTGGCATCCTTAGAAAGAACATCTGGAATGCAGGCTTGTCTCTTGACTCCATTGTCCCCTCCATCCCATTCTACTTTATTGTGGCTGATGGAGAAAAGCCCCCCAAAGCTTCTTTAAGACCTAAAAGCAACAGCACAAAACAGATTTGGTCACAGCCCCTACACTGTGCCTGGAAACCTCCAACACGGGTCAAAACTTCTAAACCAAAACACAAGTCACTGAGGATCTATGGAGAACCAGAACATTAATCACATAAAGTGATTGTTTTTCTTGTGACTGTTTTTCAGATAATAGTGCAATGACTCAACAATAAATTACTTATTAAGGGTCTATTACCAGTCTAGCACTATGAAGTTTTCAAAAGTCAGGTTCTGGTCTCTGACCAGAAAGAGCAAGTCAACAGCTGCCATCTGCTATTGACCTGGAAGAAGCCAGGCCATACTTCAGTGCTGCATGCCCAAATAAATGTTATTTGATATTCTCAGCCCGGCAAGATTAACCCATTGTACAGATATGAAAGTAAGACAAAAGAGCCTTTGATGCAGTGGTTAAGTCACCATTTAGGATGCCCTCATTCATCTCTCATCAGAGTACCAGGTTTGAGTCCTGACTCCTCTGCTTCTGAGTCAGCTTCTTGCCAATGAACACTCCAGCAGGTAGCAGATGATACTATAAGGACCTTGGTTGTTGCCTCCTATGTGGGGGACCATGATGGAATTTTGGGCTCCTTGCTTCAGGCTGGCCCATTCCTGGCTATTATGGGCATTTGAAAAATGAGCTAGTAGATACAAAATTCCTGTCTCCCTGCCTTTCAAATAAAATGAAAATAAATAAAAGTGAAGACAAAATGAAAGAAAATAAGACACCAGAGAGATTAAGCCAACTGGTACACATGACACACAGCTACTGACAAAACACACCGATGAGATTACTAATCAGTACTGACTTCAGAGGTAGGTATGACACGGCAGCCTCTCAAATTTGCCTTTACTTGCCACTAGACAGCTGCTGTCTTACCGAATCCAGACCATCCCTTCCTCTCTGCCTCTCTCTCCAATTAGGATTTCTCCCTCTGTCATCCCCCACAACCAGAAATCTCAGTGTATAAAATCCTTGTTACATTAAAGGGCTCCTTCTTTTTACACCTTCCAGGACATCTTGCAGGATGGCTAGGAGCCACCTTCTCCTGCCACGCACACACCTTGCTGTCTTCACTTCCGGCCCTGCTCCCTTTCTCAAAGCAGATTCATTCTTCCTGCACCCCCAGACGCTGGAACCCTGGCGGCAGACAACAGCGAGGATTTTGCCCATCTGCCTGTCCCCATCCCTCTCATCACTGTCTCCTTACCAACAGGTTCTTTTCACCTTAACTGCAGGAAAGGGTCCAAATATGAGAATGCTTTAAAAATTATAATAGCCCATAGCTGCCCCTTAGAGATTCCAAGGTGGCAGTTACGTCTGGACCAAGACATTTTGTTTGACCCACAGTATTTTTTAAAACTGCATTGGATGGCCAGCTTAAAAATGACACTGAAATCTGGATTTCTGGCTTCTCTTGAAAAACGGAAGTGTCTGGCAATACTGGAGGACACTCTTGCTCAACGATGACACACGGAACCTGAAGAGCAGCATTTCAGAGGCATGCTTCCCAGGTCCCCCAAGCACTATGCTTTCTCCCATAGCTGGCCTTCCTTTATCCACTCACTATGTGTGCTTGTCCAAAAGGGTGTTTGCACATGTACCACTGCTCCGTGACTCCTCCTTTCTAGTTAATGCAAAGTGGCATACAGAAAGTGACTTAAAAAATC